TCTCATCTTTTTAAGTGGGAGAACTTGCACAATTGGTGGCTGACTAAATACTTTTTTGCCCCACTGTACCTCACAGGCTTGCTGTTATGGGGAAAACTGATAAGATTTATAGACAAGCAACAATTTGAGCAATTTATGTCACGAAAACTACACTGATCTTCTCAGAAACCTACCACATGAAAAAAAAAAAGCTCTAGTGCCAGACATGCACACACCCACATATCAACTAAAACAAAGCAGCAAATAGACCTATTCAATTCATATTAAAACAAAAAAAAACAGCAGACATATGACATGCATAACACACCCGCTTCCTTGCCTTCCCTTCCTCCCAACTAAACCCACCATCTTTCTACCATAACTTTCAGCACCCCGACTCCACCCTAGATTCTTTCCATATTCCCCAAAGTCAGGTTACATACCCCTGACACTCTGGAAACATCTCTCTGAAGCACTTGGCTTCATTTGCTATTTCTGCTGGTGATTTCTCCAGACAAAGAAATGTGCATAACGGTGCCAGTTCTTTTTTGGATAGCGGAATGTTGTAATCTTTGCATAGTGTAAGGGTGATCAGTGCTAGGCCTAATTTGTCGCACGCTGAAGTGTTCTGGTTGAGAAAGCAATTGGATTCTTCCATCAAGTAATTCACAATCACCTTTTGCAACTTTAAAAGAGAGAGAGAGAGAATTGCACCTTTAACCATGCATCATATTAAGGCATAAGCCATAGCTAAAAAACAGAACATCTAGGTGCATACATTGTCCTGAACCTAACTCAAAGAAATCACATTATAGATTAGGCTACGTATGAAGAGAGTTTACCTTTTTGCAGCAGTACGTATGTACGGAGGTTAATTTCCTGTCCATGAAATGCCTGAAATTCCTGCTGCAGCCAAACCACAGGTATACAGTAGCCTGCTTTTCTTGTCTATTTGCCTGTTACAACAGTGACTGGCCAGGTTACTGGCTTCATAAGCCAAAGTACAGGCAGAACGTCCCAACAATACCCTCTCGTACATTTAGTTGATTTAGATTAAGTCAGAACTCCCTGATATGTCCAAACTAGGGAATTCCGGCTTCAGGTCAGTTTCCCAACTTACAGAGGACAGGAAATTGGTTTAATTCAAGCTATTAATCTGTTAGGCTGTATAATAGCTCTCTGTTTCTGGAATAGTGATAATGCAGAGGTGGTGAATCAAACAATTATCAGACTCAAGGGTCCAACAGATCTAAATGATTTCCTGGATGTACTGGGTGATTTGCCATCTCATCCGTCTGCAATGCTGTCAAATCCTGCCATGCTCTAAAACCCAGGCAGCAAAATCTATGCTGCTACCAGGCTTCCAGTTTTAATACAAAGATGAGAATGATGAAGCAAAAGAGATGACAGAGCACAAATGGAAGAAACCTCGGGACAAAATGTTGCATTGTGTGGTCTATTCCTAATCGAAGCAGTAGAGGAAGTGAACAGTGCTTGCTTGTTTTTATTGCATCTGTTGAAAGTAGTTCAGCACCTCCTTGGCTGGGATGCTGGAAGGGAGAAAAATCAGTAGCTGACAGGGAACAATTTGTACCACCTGTGTAATTAATGTCAATCACATCTTCCTCAGCTTGGACTCCAGTATTGGGACAGGTCAGAATATGTAATTTCTAGACCCATTTGTCCCATTATTGTAGAATTCTTTCAGTTCGTACATGCTGAGGGCACGGCCCAGGTATCTGGAGACAATAGGGTTATCATGTATTTATTCAACATTTTGCCCTTGGTGACCAATTAAATCAGCCAGAATGTGACTGACCCCATAATTAAGAGAAGAGATCCATGCAGATGTGTATGTGGGGAACACCCAATAGTAAATAATCTTTGATTTTAATTTCAAGTTCTATAAAGGCACAATCTCTGACAAGATTCCATCTTGTCTCATATTTTATTTAATGTCTACTCAAAACCACTAGGAGAGGTAATCTAAGCATTGGAGAAGAGTGGCCATCAGCCAGCTAACGGCATCCCCCTTGCCATTTTACTCCAAGGAAACAATCACTACCCTTGAATATTGTGTAGGTTGATAATGGAATAGATTAGGCTGAACATAATTCAAGGAAGTTCAGGATACACTATTGGGCATATCTCAGAAACTGGGATTTCATTACGGGCTGCTTGCTGATCCTCCACTGTCACTGGATTCATAGGTGGCAGCTACGAAAAGGGATGTATTTGTGCAATTACAGTGGTACCTCGAGTTACGAAACCCCTTCTTTACGAATTTTTCGAGATATGACCAGCTCCGGCCCCAAAAATTTACCTCGACTTGCGAACTCCGCCTCGAGTTACGCACCAGATCCGCGGCCACTTTCCCTGCTGCCACGCGGTCGCGGCTTCCTGTGGGCGAGATCGTGGTAGCAAGGAGACGTTCGGTGAGGCTTGT